TTGGCAAAAGTAACACTTCCTGACTTCCCCAAACTTACTGCCTCTCGGAGTGCCCTATATAGGTGGTCTTATCTAGACTTTTGCCAAAAATATGCAACATGCAAAGAGGCTTTATTTTGGAACATCCATTAAAAAACAAAGACGGCTCTTCCATTTAGGTTTGTATTAAAATTCAATGGCAGCTGCATGCCACAAGGCAGCTGTATATGAACCTAGATAACTGGGTGCTCTGAGCTGCGGAGGGCTGGCATTTGAGGCTGCAGCTGTTAGTGAAGTCTGGGATCAGAGTCCTCCATTGTGGGTTACTGAGCCTAAATATGCCTGCTGGGGATATGACTGAAGGCGACTCCATTGAGGTCTGAGGTACTATTTAACCTGTCGAGTAAGTCTGTTACTTAGAAACTCATAGCTTGGATAGAGAAAGCTTAATCCAAAGGGAAGTCTGTCAGCCTTTGCATGAGAGAATCCCAAACAAGTGTCAGGGGGAGTGCCCATCCAACATTGCGACCTGCCTCCTTGGGGGATTTTTGAGAGTGCTGGGTCACAAAGGATGGGATAGATCTTAAGGCTTAACTTGGCATGTATTTCATTCCCTTTTTATCTCTACTTTGATGAAGTATTCAAATTTACCAGTCTTATCTAAATCTAAAGGGTGTTAAATCCCAAAACCCCATGGTGGTTAAACCGCAGAACCCTGTGAGTGTTCAGGAGAATGTTTTACTTGAAGAAATATATCTCCACCACTGAAAGCACTGCAAAGGTGGCAGATTTTTATTGTATTTTATTTTTTTAATTTACACGGCACATTTTTCTCTTCTCCTAGCAAAGCATTCAGGATTCTGTACAGTGTGGTCCAGCCTTAAGAATTCATGTCCAATTGATGGTGCAACTGCATTCCTGCGCCCCCCACCACTAGCTCAGCAAGAAGTCGTAGGAACTGCAGTCTCCTTTATTATTCTTTCAATCACACAATGTCTAAGATTTAAGTACATATTTGGTGAAATCAGTGTGGTGCAACTGTAGTGAAAGGAAATGACAGTGGTGGAGACTGACACAGGTGTGTGCTGAGCAGCACTTGGAGGGTGGCTGAGCACATATCCAGTCTCCAGCTGTGAAGCTTTTCTTCTAGCGATCCTGCCCCCTCCAGTTGGGGGTCCTGACTGTGGCCCTCACGTACCCAGCTATTCCCCCTCCAGGACTTTCTCTCTTGTTCTTTGTGCCTTTCACAACAGTGCCTGGCATGTCCTGAAAATTTTGTGGCTGCCACCTTCCCAAGTGCATACAACATGCTTTCTGGCATCTGATCTTCATGGTGTTGGGGACCCTGAGCCCACACAGATGGAAAGGTTTTCTCTGATGTGGAGGCAATTCTGGGGATACTGAACCCCCAGGATGATACTGAACCCCAAAGGTCAGAGGGGCTGTGCTTAGGAAGATTGGAGGGACCCTTGTGTTTGAGAAGTAGAAGAAAAAAGGGCAGGGTTGTTTGATGGGTTGTTTGCCCACAGAACACATTCCACAGCCCATTTCTGTGTGTCTTTCCCAGGTATTTGCTTTAACACCCATCTTCATGCTTCCATTGCTGCTCAAGCTTACTTGCCCAGATTTATTCCAAGCACACAGCTGCCAAAATGTGGGGCAGTTTGTATAGACTTATACTCAGCAAGACTTTGAAATTGTTTCCCCTCTTTTCTTCTTTAATTTCTTTCTGGAGAGCAACCAGAACTGACATTGCGTGAGGCATTGATGCCTCTTCACATGCTCCAGCCTTAAGAAACTGTGTCCCACTGATGCTATGACTGCATCCCTGTCTGGCCTAGTGAGGAGTCATAGGAAGTGAAGGCTATTTCAATTCTAAAATTGCAAGACTTCATCCTTAAATGCAAGTGTAGCCAGCTTGGCTGGCTTCTGTTGTCCTTCTCATTCATTCATTCCACAACATTTTTGAGGGTCTCCTCTGTGCTAAACACTATGCCATGTCCTTGGGGATATAGTAGTAAATAAGACTGATGTGGCATCCCTGACCTCAAGGCACTTACTTTTACATCTAGTGTCTGTAAGGGTAGAGCAAACATATCTTATATATCATGTGCCAGGCACAGTGCTAAGCCCATCATTGCATCCACATAAAAACCTTCTGAGGTCCTTACCTCACACCATACACAAAACTTAACTAAAAATGGGTCAAAGACGTAAATTTAAGAGCTAAAACTTTTAAATCCTTAGAAGAAAAATCAAACCAAACCAAACCCACTGCCATCAAGTTGATTCCTACTCAGAGTGACCCCGATTCCCATTGGGTTTCCAAGGTGGTAAATCTTTACAGGAGTAGATTGCCCAGTCTTGCTTCCCTTAGAAGAAAACATAGGAACAAATCGTCATGGCCTTGGATTCAGCAATGGTTTCTTAAACATGATACCAAAACTACAGGCAATGAAAGAAAAATAAATAAAGTGGACTTCATTAAAATTGAAAAATTTTGTACATCAAAGGACTCTATCAACATAGTGAAAAGACAACCCACAGAATGGGAGAAAATATTTCCAGATCATGTATTTAATATGGGTTTAATATCCAGACTATATGAAGAATCCCTACAACTCAACAGAAAAAAGATAAACAAATTTTAAAATGGGCAAAGGATTTTAACAGACATTTCTTGAAAGAAGAAATGAACAATCAACACATGAAAAGATGCTTAACATCATTAGTCATTAAGGAAATGCAAATCAAAACGACAATGCAATACCACTTCACACTTCCTAACCAAAACCAACAACAACAAAAAAAAAAAAACAACTTGCTGCCATTGAGTAAATTCTGACTCATAGCGATCCTGTAAGACGGAATAGAACTGCCCCATAGGGTTTCCAGGCTGTAATAGATTGCCTCATCTTTCTCTCCTGGAGTGGCTGGTGGGTTCGAACTGCTGAACTTTTGGTTAATAGCCAAATGCTTTAACTACTGCACCATCAGAGCTCCTTCACACCTACTAGGATGGCTATAAATAAAAAAGTTGAAAGTAACAAGTGTTAGCAAGGATGTGGAAAAATTAGAATCCTTGTACAGTGCTAGAGAGGATGTAAAATGGAGCAGCTGCTGTGGAAACAGTTGGGTGGTTCCTCAAAAACTTAAACATTGGGAGGATAGACATGGAACAAAATCCAAAAACACAATAATGACCAGAATTACTGGTCGGATGGAGTCTGGTGGGACCCCCGAAACTATGGTCCTGGGATACACATTGAGCCTGGGATAAAACTCACTCCTAAGGGCTAGCACTCAGCCCAACAGTAATAAGACTTACATGCAGAACACTCACCCAGGGCAATGCACCCACCTACTCTACCGAGATACATCCCTTGGAGCAATCGGCCATGGGGCACCTGAGGGGCAACAGTCACACAGAGGAAAAGCTGGACAGGCAGGAGTGCATAACTAAGAAGGGCACAGGGATGGGGAGGTCACTGGGAAGGGAGAGGAGGAGAGTCGGGTAGGGCTGGGGATGATAATTGGGGAGTGAAGCCAAATGTACATGAACTGTTGAATGTAAAACAAATTCTGCTCTGTAAATTTAAAGCACAATTAAAAAAAAAAAAAAAAGACTTTATGGTCCACGAAGTCAGGGCTTCAAACCAGTTCTTCCTAGTTCAGTCATAGCCAGTGAAGCAACACTGGAATAAACCTGAATTTTTAAAATGTGGGTGAACTGGAACAATAATTGGAACAGGAAGAATTACACGCAGACACCCTGCTAGAAGCTTAATCCTTCTTAGAAAACCAAGGTGGCATGTGTGTTGCATAGCAACAAATCTCTTGATTGGCAGAGACAGGAACAACAATGCCCGGCTCTAAGTGGCAGCCAACCCACACTGCTTTAAATACACATGTATATGTCTCTCCATAGTCCTGGCAGTAATCCAGTTCGCCACATCGGGCTCCTGAAAGGGCTCACTACCTCTCGTGAGTCTCCCGTTCCAGGTCTTCAACTTGTAATTTTTCCAATTCCAGTATACCCACATTTTACAAATTCATGCTCCAATTTCACTGCATCAGCAATGACTGAACCAATTCAAACAGATTCAAAGCCCTGCACAAGCCTAAAATATTACGGAAGTTTGCTGACCTCTGGTCTAAAACGGAATAGTTGCAGTGACTATCTGTTCTCATAGAATAGATGAGAAACTGAGGTTTAGAAACATCATTTGGTTGGTGGAGCTGGGACATTCATTGAGGGGGTCTTCCTCTGCAGCTTGTGCAAGACCTGGGCTCTAGCCCAGCTATTACTGAATGCATGACATCTGTTGGCTTCCCCATCACCTGGGGAAACAGTTGCTGGTCACACCCCCTGAGAAGCAGCCTCTGAGGTGGAGATTTTTTAGGAGGAGTGACCTCGAAACAACATCTGTGGAGCAAAGGAGGCAGCAGGGGTGGAAAGAAGGAGGAGTCAGGCTGTGATGCGATCACAACAATGGCCTCAGCCAACTCCCCAGGTAGCTCTGGAGCTGGGGTGGCCTTTCAGAGTTTTCTGACACCCTCCTGGACCACTCATTGACTGTGGGATTTACCCAGGCATGGGGGATGACCTTAGGTGTAATGGTAGGGCTCTCCTGTGAAAAGGAGCTCACTCTGCTGGGGGCATTTAAGAAGGGCAAGCCCATATCTCCTCTCCTGTCCTGGTCCTCCAAATGATAGGGTTTCAGGACCCCCTTTGCCACATGGATCTTTGCTATGGAGCCAGTTAAAGGTGGCACACACACTTGCAGAACCCTGAGTCCACATATGCAATAAAGCCATGAACGCACTGAGTAGGTTCATGGTTGGCATGAGGTATGTGAGGCTGTCGTGTCACTTTGTTGCCTGTACTGCTCACTCTAGGAATTCTGGGAATCATTTGTCTTACTTAGAGATTAGACTCAGGTGTGAATGCAAACATGCTGCCAGGTGATGCTCCAGATTCAAGAAGATTGCATTTATTTGTCCTCCTCTCTGATTTCTAGTTTCAGTGGCGATTCTCCCGAGAAGAAATGAACAACAGGCAAATGAGGAAATCCAAAGGTAAACTCAGTGCCAGAGACAAACAACAGACAGAAGAGAATGAGAAGGACTTGGAAGACCAGTGTTCCAAATCTGGAGACGTGGGAAACTGTGTGCTAGGTCGGCATCAGGAAGATGGGATCCGAGGGGAGGAGGAGAACGTAGCCTCTGAGGAGATGGGCATCTCTGTTCAAGAGGTCAAGGGAGACAAGCTGTGTCCTGTTGGTGGGCTTGGTGGTGGGAGTGTGGGAGGCACCATGCAGAACGGCCCTGCTGCCCCCAGCAGGGCCCCGGTGGGGGGCTGCACTGTGCCCTCTGATCCTGAAGAGCATGGCCAGGACGGCAGTCTTGAGGAAGTCCCTGGAGAGCCCGCTACACCAGAGGACAACTGAATCTCGGGCACTTTGCTCTGAAGCCAGATGAGCTGCAAACCTGAGGGACCTTGCTGGGAACCATCTCGGGGGTGGGTTTGCCCTGGCATTGTCCGTTACCCTTTGGCTTGGCTTGACCTCTCCTTGTGAGTCTACCCAGCCCTCCAAGGGCTGGGTCCTGATAGAGTTGGTTCCTGCACATCCATCCAAAATGTGTCGTAATGCTCCGGTATTAGAGAGCTCGAGGTCAGGCACTGCTCCTGGACCTTGGGCCGGAGACCCAGCCCTGGCTCCACTTCCTCCTGCGGGAGGGTCTGAACCACCCAGTGCCTGTGTCCACTCTACAGGGCCTCCAGGGAACATTTGGGTCAAACCCTTGGACCCCCCTGGCTACAAACCAAGTCTGTTGTCCACTCCCATGCCTTGATGAGGCAGTGTCAGGCCCCTGCTGCATTTGGCAGCTACTTGGTGACTTTTACATCTGGAGAGACCTGTGAGCTGCCCCTCTCCACCTAAAACCCTCAGACCCTGCTGCTTTGGCAAAGAAACGACACTGGGAGGGGAGGTGCCCTGCCTCCTGGCTTTTCTTAAAGTATTCCCATAGATAACTGGTAATCTGGAAATGAAGAGGTAATTCTGCTTGCATACCTGCTCTTGCAGAATGCCTAAGAAAGTATTCTGTGTAAGTATTAATGCCAAAAATTTTTAAAGGTTTTGTATTCAGCACATCCTATGAACACATGTTACTTCCTGTCATTTCGGGGCATCCTGATTGGGTGGGTGCCCTTGTTGTGTGCTATTTTATTCAGTGTATCATTGGCCAAGTTGTTACCATGTATGCTGTGTCTATCATGTGTTTATATTGTCCAGAAAGTATTTTAAGGCTTTAAGTAGATGCAACTGGTGAACCTTGGAGAGATACTACAGATTGTCTTTACCAAAAACAATAGCCTGTCTCTTCTCTTTCTTGTTTAGTTACTTAAAGCAATAAATCATCCATGAGTTAGTGCATTTTGTGTATTGATTATTTATTGTGTCACAAAGAAAACTCCTGGTCTAATGTCCAAAGGTCTCAGCCCCACATCCCCCTTTTAAATTTATATAGACTCTTTTACTTTTACATTTACAGAAAAACTGAGAAGCTAGAGTTTCTTATATGCTTTGTACCCAGGTTCCCCTATTATTAAGATCTTACATGACTATAGTACACTTATTAACCATTCATGAACCAATGTCCATACATTAGTATTAACTAAAGTCCATACTTTAATCAGATTTCCTTAGTTTTTCTCTAATGTCCTTTTCTGTTCTAGGATCCCATCCAGGAAAACACATTACATTTAGCTGTTGTATTAATTTCTTATTGCTACTATAACAAATCACTACAAACTTAGTGGCTTAAAACAACACAGATTTACTCCCTGAACAGTTCTGCAGATCAGAAGTCTAAAATGGTTCCTCAGGGCTGAGTTCCTTCTGAAGATTCTAGGGGAGAATCTGTTCCCTTGCTTTTTCTAATGTCTAGAGGCCACCTGCATTCCTTGGCTTGTGGCCTCTTCCTCCATCTCTAAAGTCAGCAGCATAGCATCTTCTCTCCTCATTGACCTCTGCTTACACCCTCACATCTTCTGATTTTGGCTCACCTGCCTCCTTGTAAGGACCCTTTAATTACAATGGACCCTCCAGGATAATTGCTCCATCTCAAGATACTTAATTTGATCACATCTGCAAAGTCCATTTTGCCATGTGGTGGCAAGGGGACATTTTGTAGCCTACCACAGTTATCACATCTGTTTGTTGTTGCTGTCGAGTTGATTCTGACTTGCGACAACCCATATGTGCAGAGTAGAACTGTTCCAGAGAGTTTTCAAAGTTGTGACCTTTTGGAAGTGGCCTGTCTTCCAAAGCTCCGTTAGGATAGTTTCTGGCTTTCCTTGTTTTTGATGACCTAGAAGTATATTGGTCAGTATTTGGTAGGATGTCCCTCTACTGGAATTTGTCTGATGTTTTTCTCATGATTGGACTGGGTTATGGGATCTTGGAAGGATCCAACAGAGGTACAACAGAGGTAAAATGCCATTCTCCTCACATCACATTGAGGGCACATACTATCAACATGATTTATCATTGCTCATGTTGATCAGCTGCCCAAGATAGTGTTTGCCAGAGGTTTTGGTTACCTCGATGCAGCTCTTACAGCAATTCCACAGTTGGATGGCTTAAATAGGAATTTATTCTCTTACAATTTAGTAGGCTAGAAGTCCGAGTTCAAAGTACCAGGTTCTAGGGACTGGGTGACAGCCCCTCAACCTTGGGCTTAAGTTCTGCCTCTTGCTTCTGACCCACGGGAGCTGGAGGCTTTTCTTAACTCAGGCAGCTGCTGGCTTCTGAGGCTGGCAAACCAAAGGTCAACAAGTAAAAAGGCACAGTCTCAAGATTATCAAACAACAGGGCAGGCCACTAGTTCGAGTCCAGAAAAAAGTTCCAAGATTGGCAGGAAGCATAGCAGGCTGCTAAATGAAGACTCGGCTACATGCAGGGTCCAAGGGTGCCAAAAAACTGCAGAGACCTTCCTCAAAGGTGCTGCTTATATACTGGAAGCAGACCACATCCCTAAAGCAGCTATTCAGTTGCTCCAGTAGATTCCACCATGGAGTTGATTACCAGTCTTATTATGGGGAACAACTACATCCAGCTGCCCAGCCAGTCAAAACCAGACCCAACCAAGTTGACACATGACTACCACACCAGTTTTCTCTACTACAAAGTTCCTCCTTCTCCCTCTTTTCATAGTTGACTCTTTAGGAGGAAGTCAATATGCACAGCCCAAACTTAAGGAATGGGGAGTTATGCTCCCCTCCTTGAGTGCAGATTATCTACATAAATTACTAGGAATTCTTCTGCATGGGAGATACACCTCTTCTCCCATTTATTCATTCAATCATTTTTTACATCAGTATGAATTCGTGAGTATTTATTTTATACTTTGGTTTATAATCCAATACGATTTTGTTGCTTAAATTGTTCCAGCTTTGGCCACTGGGAGCTCTCACTTGGCTCCTATGCGCCTTTGAGAAACCCCCATCATGGTAGGGTTTGTTTTTTGTTTCCTTTCTGATCCTACTAGATACTCCAGGCTTATCCTGTATAATTTCTATGCTAGTCCTAGAGTCAGCCATTTCTCCAAGGAGACTGGTCCCTTTTTACTGGAGATTGGTATTAAGAACCAAGATCTAAGCAGTAGTTGTGCTCATTGCTACTGAAGTGTTATTGTTTGTAGGCTCTCTCAACTAACAGAGAAGGAAATCCATGTGTATATAATAATCATGTATATGCACATATCTGTAGATATTTCTAGGAGTCGCTGAGTAGCACAAATGATTAAAGGCTAGAAAGGTTGTTGATTCAAACCCACCCAGATATGCCTGGCAATCTACTTTTGAAAATCCTGTGGAGTTCTACTCTGTGCACGTGAATCCCCATTGGTCAAAATCAACTCTATGGTGACTGACAACAACACAAATATTCCTATATACATCAATTTATGTATTAAGATAAATAAACATGGTTCATACATCTCTAACTCTAATCTATTATCACATGGATCATTCTAGTTCTTCCCTTGGTTACTGGTCATTCATTTTTTATAAGTTTCTAACTCCTGACATCATGAAGATTTTGGATAAGAAAACTAAGCCCATCTGGAAAACAATACAGAGCCAGCTAAGCATACTGTGCTTTCGTTTCATTTGTAAAAAAAAGATGGAAAGTGGAATTGAGATGCCACCAGGTAAGTGATACCACCACCTGCCATTGCTCCAAAGGCCAGCCCAGCAATGGTAGAGAAAAATACCTTTTAAAGACAAAAACCCCACACCAGTTTATGTGTCTAAGCTTTTCAGTAAACTATTCAATGAGACAAGTCTTTTCCTTGTTTGCAATTTTATTAAATAGAACCCATTTGTAATGCATTTGTAGAGAGCAAAATTAAAAACCAACCGTACAGCCACGTTGTGTAGTTGGTCCCCTCTGGATTTTTAACAAACCCTCCTCTCCTCCCTCCAGAGTTCCTCTAAAAGTGCTGAAGGTCCTGTTCAAAGAAAAGGAACTATTTTTAAAGGACATTTCCCACAATTCTGTTGTATGATGGTGAGTCAGTTCTGACTCAGCAACCCTAGAGGACGGAGCTGAACTGCCCCATAGGGTTTCCAAGGCTGTAATCTTGGCAGAAGCCTACTGCTTCATCTTTCTCCTGTGGAGCGGCCAATGGATCTGAGCTGCCAACCTTAGCCACTGTACTGCCACAGCTCCTTATTCCAACAATTATACTCAATTAGTATTATCAGTACAACATTTTCATTTAATAAAAATCTCTCTTGATGCATGAGAGGATCACAATTTTTTTTCTTTTAAAATCCCAGTCAGTATCAGACTGGGATCAACAATGCTCTCTTCTCACAACTTTGAAAAGCAAACACTCCTAGACTGCATCCTCCAGGTAAAAACCAAAACCAACTCACTGCCGTGGAGTCGGATCTGACTCACAGCGACCCCTCCTCGGGTTTCCGAGGCAGTGTCACTACGGAAGTAGATTGCCCAACCTTCCTACTGAGAAGTGGCTGGTGGGTTTGAACTGCCAGCCTTCTGGTTAGCAGTCAAATAAATGCCTTAGGCACTATGCTACCAGAGCTCCTATTTATCCTCCAGGTGGAGGGCCTTAAATCATTGTTTGGGGTGCATTTCCCAGTAATGAAATAACATTTATGTTGGCTGTATTTATTATAGGGGGGAAAAAGTTAAAAGTGACTAATTTAAACTCCTTAGGGAGTATGGCCCTAGAGTCAGGCTAACAAAGAATTCTGGAAGCTCTTGTTTTTCACCTCATCCTCTCTAGACTGCTGTTGATTCTGGCCAAATACCAATCTACAGCAGTGGTTCTCAAATTGGTTGCACCTTGGAATCCCGTGAGGCACTTTAAAAAATACTGATGCCAAGGTCTGATCCCAGGGACTGATTGGTCT